GACCAGGAGACGGGCTTCGCCAAAGCACTCTTCTCAGACTCATTTAAAATGTTTAACCAAATAAACAGTCATGTCACCTGCCTAAAGGTCTCCTTGGTTGAACTAATGTTACAGTCCGAACCTGAAATCAGACCAGTTCGCCGGGCTATCCAGCTTCCATCTGTTTTCTCCTGGGAAAAGAATCCTGTACAGGCTCTCCGCACGAACCCGTCAGCCAACAGCAACCCCGCACTCTCTTCAGCTCTCCCTTCCTTGTTCCCGCCGCGCATACGCACACGCACCATTTCTTCCGGGACCCCCTCAAACAGATATGATTGGCCAAAATAAAAAAACCCACCCCATAACAGTATCCGTCAGTACAATACAATTTGTCAGTTCTACTGAACAGAATGCCACACTAATACATTCAGTGCATAAACAACTCAACTCCAACACAAAAAAACATCTCACCCATAGGAAAAGAACACATTTAAAACCACACACACACGGGTGCATTGGGCATAATATGAACGTCACCCCGCAATATTAACACTCACAAACTCTCTTTTCCCTGTAACATGACCACCCATTTCTATATGGCTCTACATACAATTTTGTTTTTGAGTTTGAACTCTTTATACACATCTGACAATGCTTTTGCCAACACACCATATGTGTGTGCTCCTTTGATACGCTGGCAAGCAAGTACTGCAGAGCTTCTCTGAGACACATAATTTTTGTTGAGCCAGTGAATCATGATGCCTATAAAACATTAGACCAAAAATCAGCTATTGTGCATACAGCATTGACTTCAGAAAATTCCGCCTTTAGTTCACAATTCATTTCCTTCTATGCCTTGTTCAACAATGTCTGTACCTGCCTTTCTTGAAGGCATTTGCCTGAATGGTTGCAAACCAGTAACTAATCTGATAAGGGATGGCTTTTTGCCCTTGCTCAAAGGCTGCAGATCCCGTACAATGTAGTCTAGTACAACTGTGTCTACTTGTTGGGAAAAGAAGGTTACTGATCCTTTACAAGATGTCGCAAGTTTGATTTGGGTGGAGGATCTTTGCGTATTGCGTATCTTTAGCTCTCATCTATAATGCACTATAGATTCCTTTATCACATCGTGCTCTTTGTCTATCTCATGCTACCTCTTGTGATCACTCATCCAGCACATCTCACACCCCCTTCGACCACTGATGAACCGTCGTTGTGCAACACTATGTCAGGATTATGCAATGGCTGATAGATTTCTTCAGTGAAACTGAATATTCATAGCTATGCTTATAATATTTTATGAATGTGTTACAATGAATTATAAGAACAGTTTTTATGCTTTATGAATATGGACTTCATAGAAACTGTTGCCAAAAAAAATATATATGTATGAACGTGAAAAAACACACAAATTAGATCAATTATGCAAGACTCAGATCCAACACAAGGTAGGATAGATCGATGGGTGGTTCTTCAATCATGAGAAAAGGGATGTAATTTCATTGTGCACATCCACAGAATCCAACGATAAGACGATTTGATAGGTAGGATGAAATGTTATAGGCCCCTATAATTCTATACTTTAGGGGTGTAGTAACCAGAATTTATGGGGGGGACAGACAGAGCTTTGGAGCTTCATTGCATTGTGGAATTGATCCGCCACGCTGGTTCGATACCTCTCATTGTCCAGGTAGTGGTGCATTGGTTGTGCCTGTAGCTCTATTCAGATTTATTCACTAAAAGTGCACAACTAAGCGACGTATTCTGTTGCAAAAGCTGATCGTATGACATTGCATCATATAACATAAACTGATATGTTGAATGAACAATATCCAAGTTTTAAAAGGGCTGCAATATATTGATTAAATAAATTAGAGTATTTGTACAGGATCGATTCTGTCCCAAGCTTTTTGATCCATATATCGCGGCGCTAAGCTGCGAGTTTGGGGGAACCACCCCTTAAGACACCAACTACGCCACCCTGGCAATTACACCCAGGGAAATAGTTCCTAACACTCCAAAAAGAAAAGCACTCAGGTCCGTTATACACGGCAGCAAGAGACGTGACTCAACTTACAATCTTTTATTAACAATCTCAATAAAACACCGTCCACAATACAAAGTAGAACCTCCGGGCTGGTGCACACGAGACAGGAGGTAAAGCAGTCAGGCAGAAAATGGCATCCTAGAACAAAAGCACTACAACTCCTATGCACACATACACACACAAACACACACCACATCACCAGAACAAATCTCCCTTCCTCCCTACTGGCGTACCAACCCAGAACAGTCTTAAAACACACAAAACTAAAAACCCTAGCTCTAAACAGGTAAACCTGGAAGAACCAGTTAAAACAGAGAATTACAATCCACATTCACAATACAACCAAAGAGGCAAAGCAGCAGCAGCAGCAACAACTGTAGGGCAGGCAATCCAGACAACAGCTGTAATAGAGCAGGCAAAACAGCAGCACTTAATGGCACGTCATAATCTTCCCAACCAGCCGGATAAACTCCCTCCGCGTTGCCCACCGCCACCTACCAAACAGTAGCTTCCAAGGAATCCGTCGTATGCTGATCTTTAAACACAGCGAAGTCAGGTAATCGGAAGAACACCTTGCCAGCGTTAGATCCCTAGCCAACCACTGCCACTTTTATAGGGTGCTACCTTGAAAGCCAATGATCGCCCCGCAAATTTAAAGGCATAGCGATCCAAAATAGCCATTCTGCCACACATACAGTATAAGTGGTTGATCACGTTTTTTATCTGTTTTTATGAGCGGTCCTGGATTCAAAGTGACATCTTTGATCAGCTATTAAAATATCAGTAGCATCACCAACCATAGAAAGCTCTTGAAGTCTACTTTATTGATATAAACAAATCATGAGTGTCACAATCACCGCATTGGAGCTCAACATTGATCACGACAACAAACGCACAAGAAAAATCAAGATCATCACATAATAATTTTCCAAAGTGAGATTCACAGGTAAGCAGGAATAAAAAGACAGAGCTAGTGTTCACCGTTATTTTATATAATTTCAGAAAACTCCCACACTCTTTTGAAAATGTCACCAAATTTCAGTCAACAAAAATATAGCTACTGGTTAATCTAACTGCTAAATGCAGTGTCCATCCAAAATTTATTTAAATTGTCCGAGTCCTTACCCCCGCCTGGGCAACTTGTAGGAGTCGAGGTGTTTTATGAAATATTTATTCTACTACCGAGTCCTTGCTTTGTTTGTAAAATTTTCTCGATATGGGCATTTCTCTCGGGCGCATTCTTTCAGCATATTTTCTATGAATATAAATTATCACCAACAAAAAAATAAAAGAAATGAGAACTACGGGGTTACTGGTACATCGGTCGCTGTGTGTTGCTGTGTGGAGATAATTGAAAAAGTGTCCCCCCCTGCATGGCAAATGTACTTGTGATGACATCACATGCCCATTCCTAATACTCCCCAATATTTAGTTTTTGATTTCTTTCATCCTCTCCACAAATACCTTTGCATTTTAATTATTATGTTTTGTCCTCCTGTATCAAATTCTCTCCTACAGTCTTGGTATCCTTAATATTCAAATTTCATCAAATTTCATTCATTTATTTGGCTCCGTATTCAAATGATAAATCTGTTATATTGTTAAAATTCGAATGTCTTTTTAAAACGAGCTTCCCAGCCTTACTCCACAAACACAAACATAATGATCAGCTCAAATGATAACAAGTCCATGTGTCTTAAGCCATAAAACAGAAAGGTTCACTTGCCTGCTTCCTGTATTTCCACCCGTGTTTCACGTTGCTCCTGCTCTGTGTAAACCACACACTTGTACACTCCTGCATCTGCAGTCCTCACACCCTCAAGCAGCAGAGAGAAGTTGCCTTTGGGGATTTCCTGAGAGAAGAAGTGCGCTCTGCCCCTGTAGGCATCCCCCTGTGATTCAGGTCTGCTCTGACCCCCCTGGAATAGGTGCACGATGGTGTCTGAATCAGTCCTTCTCCAGTCCACCTCCAGCTCCTCCAAAGGCAGGGGTCTGTCCACAAAGCAGGGCAGCAGTACAGCTCCTGTCAGCCGGGCTGTCAGAGGACCAGCAGAGCCGTGTAGCAGGAAACCTACCACAGGAATAAGAGATATAAAATCTCTTTATGACAACAAAGCATTAAATAATAAGAGAATATACATGGCAACACAGTTACTTGAATATTTGGTAAGCAAGCATTGGTACATTAATTTGTACACCCAGAACAAGAACTCAATTAAATTTCTTCACCATTATAATATGAGTAACCATACACATAAAACTGTCTTCAAAATGTACATACCATCAGAGTTACTGACGAACTTGAACAAGATCAGAATAACGGTGAAACTTTTGATCTGCATCGCCAAATTTATCCTTTTGCAAAGAACCATTTCTATAAGAGGCACATTTTGTTTTTTTTTATTAATAGCCTATATGAGCTTTGATTAATGCAGTTATATACCTCAACAAAATGCCGTCTTTCTGGCCATACTTTTACTTTCAGTTTACACCAGGAGCTGAAACACACCCAACACATCTAACCTATAGTTAAGTGGCTGATTGTTAACTTCAATGAAAACTATGTACAGAAATATGTAAAACACAAGGGGGTACAAAAAGCAGGTTTAGCAAGGAATCCCTAATTAATAGCTAAATCATGGGCAATTTCCATTCCAGAAGCTGACATTTTAATACATATAATTTCCATATTATTTAGCTTTTAAGTGGCCTTATTATTCATTACATTAACATTAGTCACTGGTGTAACATAAGTGACTGAAAAACTGTTCACAACAGTGACATTCTGTTTAAAATGAAATATTTTTGAATTGCTGGTCAATTGAGAGTGAACTTGTGCAACTATTTAAAATTAGTTATATAAAAGGGAATAAACCAGCCATTTCTATATCTACACAAGGTAAACTCAGGTGACAAATATTCAGTCACTTTACTGCTACTTTAGTATAAAGTTTTGTTTTTCCCTCACTGAAGAAAATGCACCCAGAGCTGATGCCCAATTCCTGTTGTCACTGTGAGAGAGTTTAGGTACCTTATCTTTCACAGTGGGGTAATTACAGAAACAGTTAGTCTAGCTCAGGGGTCTCCAACTCTGGTCCTGGAGAGCTACCGTCCAGTAGGTTTTCTATCCTACCTGGCTTCTGATGAGCCACAGCTGTTCTCAGGTAAATACCAGGAGCAGGTGTGACTCATCAGAAGCCAAGTGGGACAGAAAACCTACTGGATAGTAGCTCTCCAGGACAGGAGTTGGAGACCCCTGGTCTAGCTTAATCACAATATGTTAGAATGAACATGCAGGAGCTGAAGACTGTGAGTATTTATACATAATGTTAGTGATAACACTGTGAACAACATTGCAAAGGTTAGTCAGATAATCGTCATTTGATTTGTAAATATTTACACAGGAAAAATTCTGGAATGTTGTCCTGAAACCTGTTTGCTTGTGACTAACTTTTGAAGTAATACATTCTTTCGCTAAGCAGTCACTCATCAAATGAAGTAAACATGCTTTTTTGATAAGCCGATATCCTGAGACAAATATGAATTGGTGAAAAAGTTCCATGTAACTTTCAGTTCAGTTCAGAAGTCAGAGGACAACCTGAAGGACCCCATAATGGTCTTCCCAGGTGACTTTACACATAAGTACAGTTACTGGTCCTTCCCATTATGTGTCTGCAGGTAAACTTTTCCAGGACTAGTTGTGCAAGCAATTTTTCATCTGCTACCCAGGAAAATCAAAGTAAAGTCAAATGAACTGTAACAGATCTTTGATAATATGGTTGACATAATTAATTTGGATTTCAAAGAGGACTTGGTGAACTGTAGGCAAAAAATAGAAGTATATAAAAAAATACAGACTGCTGGTATGATTCTTCAGATTTCTCTGTATCTATAACATGTGAATTGCAGACAGTACAGCTATGGCAAATTGGAAATATTTTGTGAAATATCAAAATACTTATCTCAAAGCTGATAAAAGTTAGTGTGGGCTGAAAGATGTTATACAGTGATCCCCAGCTATATCGCGGTTCAACTATCGCGTCCCCGCTATTTCGCGGATTTTTCCCCAACGCGTCACAGTTCTCTGTGTATCGCGTACCTTGCTTGTGGTCCGATTGTTTTCATTTTGTTTTAAGCCCTACGATGGCTCCCAAGCGTCTTGCATCTGCTAAGTCTTGTGGCAGTAGTGAGCCTAAGCGCCAGAGGAAAACCTTGACCATTCAAGAGAAGGTAAAACACCTGGATATGAGAGAGATAGATAATATCGCTTCTTTCAAAAAGATTTATGACCTAAAGGTCAAAAAGGTTACAGGTGAAAAGTTCACTGGGTGTGCGGGGTTGGGGCGTGGTTAGGATGGTACCATGTGACATCACGACTAGTGACGTTGGGAGAGGGGTGGTTTTTTAAAATTATTTATTTTATTTTTATTAATAATATTTTTAAATTATTTATTTATTATTATTATTTTATTTTAATTATTTTTCTTATTATTACTTTATTTTGAGGAGAGTGAATTGTGTGCTTATGAGTGGGGTTTGTCGGAATAGCCCCGTGCTATGAGGCTGATGGTGCCGAGCATGGAGCTGAGCGCGGGCTGAGCGGGTCAGTTACCTGATGGAGTGTGAGCGTACGCCGAGGGTGCCTGTGGAGCGGTACCTTGGGAAGGTCCCAGTCGGTCCGGCGGAGCGTGTACTTGGGACTCGGAGAGAGCGATGCTGGAGCTTATCCTGGTGCTGCGCGAGACTGAAAGAAACTCTGGGAGAATGAGAAAGTTGGAGCTACGAATGCGAGGAAGTGGGTCTGATGCTATCGTCCAATGAACGCTTAGCAGCAGCAGATTGGCCCTGTGTGTGTGAAAGCTGACACCCACCTGCAGCAGCAGTTTGCCAGTGTGTGTGTGTGCGTGTGCGTGGTAGGGTTTTTTTTTCTCAAACTTGTTTCAAGTTTGTGTTTTTCTCATGCACCTGTTATGTACATCCCAGTAGGTCATCCGGGTCATCTGTAATAATTTGGGTCACACATCAAATTGGACATTTTGTCTTACAGTAAGTTTTGTTTGAAGTTTTGTTTTTTTTCCGATACACCCGTTATGTACATCCCCGGGTCGAGCGCATCGTCATAACTACAAATATGAGTTAAAAGAAAAACACCGCGGCAATGTACATCAAATAGACTTAAGAAAAAGAATAGAATCCTAAAACTTGACAGGCTCTATATTTCTCCTTAAAGAATCCTAAGAAAAAACCATCTGCAGATATTTTTATTACGCCGAACGGGTTTTCCTCCTTGGATAAAGAAGCACAAGTACCCCCAAGTATCATCAAGGCCTTACCCCACTGCAAAAAGAAAACTACACGGGACATGCATAGAGTGTGAGTATATTATTTCTTTTATACATGTTTTATGATAAACGCTATACATTAAAAATAACTATCATTTTTTATTTATTTTTAGAGATTCAGCTATTCTGGGTTTTTTTTTTTTCTACGAGAGGCGGTGCGAATAGAAAACTTCATATAATAAATAAATTTCCTGCCCAGAGATACGATCGCGATCCTGGACATATGGGATTACAGGAGGCAATACAAAAGTTATTCCAACGTCACGATCCAGTGGCTGGAATTCATCGGCCGAACGCCCGGCCTCGAAATTCGACACGCGCTGCGTGGGGGTGAAGTGCGTGTGGGACGCTTTCATCTAGACGGATACGCGGAGATAGAGGGAGAGAAATGGGCTTTTGAGTTTCTAGGCTGCCAGTTTCATGGGTGTCCTACGTGCAACAATGAACACGATGTCTGCCCCCTGACCCGCGAGAGCTTCGGTTCCTTGTACGTTAAAACAAAGGAAAAACTCAAGGCGTTGTGCCAAGAGTTTAATATGAACGTAGGGTCGATTTGGGAACACGAATATTCAATTTATCAAGCTTAAGAAGCAGAAAAGGTTGATTAAGCTTTGCGCCTGTAAGAAAAACAGCGTCGCGAGGAAACTAGCTTTTTCGTTTTTCCACCACCAGCATGAGCGAGGTAAAAAAAATGTTCCTGCTGAGTCCCCAGCAACTCCGTATGCTTCCCCAGAGAGCAACCCCGCATACGACCATTGGGGAAATCGGCCCTGGGTGAACTTGAAAACCAGATGCACGCTTTATTCAGGGTTCTTGCAGGTTTCAGTAAGTTAAATTTAAGACCTTTTTAAGACCTTTTAAGACCATTATGAGTAAAATTTAAGACCAACATCATGCATTACTAGAAACATTCGAATGATACCAGAAATTCTCATATTTTATGTCACTCATATCCTTAGCCCAACATCCACATATCATATGTGTTTACAAAGTGCGTTTCAATAAGTTCACATGTGTTTAAAGCATGTGGGAGTGGTATTTTAAGGCTTAAACTATAAAAATGTTTATGTATATGGTCTTTCTATATCACGGATTTTCACCTTGATGGGTCTGGAATGTAACTTCCGCGATAGGCGGGGGACCCACTAGCGGCTCCAAGAACAAAAAGGGATTTATTAAATAAAACAGAAAACACTACAAACACAATGAAACCAAAAGGACCACGAGGGGTCAAAAACTAAAGGGAATAAACTAAGACTACAAACAAACAAACAAACAAACAAACAAACAAACAAACAAACAAACTGGGCAGGTAAACATAAGACAGATCTAACTTCAAACTAACAAAGCTTAGACAAGCAACAACAACACATCACACAATGAACCACTGGGGAACTGAACAGAAGCAGGAACTAAAATACTAAGGGGTAACGAGACTAACACAGGACAGGTGAGGCT